ATTAGAGATGTCATTATTACTGGGTTTAGATTAAGATCTGCTTGTGGGGAAAAGATGTCAGTCATGAAAATGTCTTAAAGAAAAAGGAGAAAACCCAAAACGAGTTCTGCATACATTTAATACAAGCGTTTTAAGCATGTTTAATTTGAACACAATGGCTTCTAGAGTTATTTACGACTGATTGTATTTATATCCTCTCTTTTGGGGTTTATATGTCATGCAGACTTACATATCTCTATTGATATTGCTGCTTGTGAATCATGCATGACAGGTACTCAATAATAATGGGTGCGGATTACTTTTGACATCTGGCTGTTGGTGACGGCAGCTTTGTTCTATGGTCTGAGTTCACATGTACCACATCAAAGGCTGGCGTTTCTCTCTCTACGAACAGGCTGAAGGGTGATTTTACTGACTTTTCCTTTAAGATTGTCTATTAGAAGTGGCCTAGAGAATCACATGCTGAAAATATTACAAATATTCCTTACAAAAATGTAACCTGGTTTCCACCTAAATAGGTAATGTTAAAACTGTAAAATCATACTAAATAAGAACTGTAAATAATTTAATTATATAAACATTATTTTTTATATTTTACATATTAAGACTGGTAAGAATTTTTGATGTTTTTAAAAGAAGTACCTTATGCTCACCAATACTGCATTTATTTGATGAAAAGAACTGTAATATTGTGAAATATTATTACAATTTAAAATAGCTGGTTTCTATTTTAATTTATTTTAAAATGTAATTTATTCCTATGATGGCAAAGCTGAATTTTCAGCATCATTACATGATCCTTCAGAAATCATTCTAATATGCGTATTTGCTGCTCAAGAAACATGTGATTTTTTCAGGATGCTTTGATGAATATAAACAGCATTTATTTAAAATTGAAACGATGTGAAAGACTTTACTGTCACTTTTGATCAATTTCATTTCGTAAAAAAAAAAAAAAAACCACACTTTTAAATACATATTTTATTGATCAAATATTGGCTTTAATAACATGGCTTTACATACAGGTCTGATTTTGAGAAAATTGTTTTTAAATGGTACACCTCGTTGTTTTACTGAACAATACAGTCGTTAAACATCTAATCACGCTTTTATTTGTCTAGTTTTAATATTTCCAGAATAAATATTACATCCAGAGATGAACGACAAACTTTGACCTAAAATAAAACAGATGGACAGGAGGTAGGAAACAACAGGAGAGGGCTGTAACTGAGGAAGTGAAGATTTAGTGGGGTTGAGAGGTGCCTCTAAAGACTTACCGCAGGCTCATGAGGGAAGGCCACACTGAGGGGGATCGATACTCTGCTAATGCAACTCTCATTATTTCTCGGAATAAATTCTCCTGACTCGGGGACCGACACTAAAAGCACCTGGTGGTATTTCAGTGGCTCCTGGGGGCCCATGGGGTCCCAGGATGGCTGCATCAGACTCTGGCTGGCTACTAAAACTCCAGACAAGCTTTCGGGACCTTTAGCACCAAGCTCTAAGGGGACACATTAACAGAGAGTCTCACAATAGGCATTTTGATGTGTCTAACAAGAACACAATAAATTGTCTCTCATTACTCAGTAATTAACTCCACAGTCCCATCCCCCCTGCACTGACACTTAAATCACCCTTTCCTTCCACAAACACCCCCTAACGCTCTCCTTCTCTCCGCCTGCTCTTTAATTTCCTCTTCTCCGTGGGGCGTAAAGGCAGAGAGGTTTCACACCGTACTCCATCATTCGCTGCCATATGCGCTCTCCCTCCCCAGCCCATCTTCAACCCCACCTTTTACCCCGTCCCATCCTCGGAGGCCTCTCATAGGGCAACACCTGGAAAAGGGCGTGGCCTTATGACTGGGGATGATGGGAGTGAACCTAGGAGAATCTGCTTTGCTTCAGCAAAACCTAAAACTGCTACCAATCCCTCAGGCCTTCACTTTCCACAGGGCTTTCCACAATCCTCCACTGTTAATTGTTAAAATGAGGTTATTAATTGGACGCAGAGGAAAATCACCTGTCATGTCAGATGGGGATCTCTTACTGATTGAAAGGTATCTCTGATATGAGCCAATGGGCTTGATGGGCCTGTAAAACGCACACTGGGATTACACGTCTGTATAGCCCAAAGGCATATAAGCCACCCTAGTTCATAAGAGGGGGAGATCACTTTTTGATTGTGTATATGGCTGACATACATCCTCTCGGATGGCCCAGATTCAAAAGCCATGAGTTGTTTGATAGCCTATTGGGGACTAGATAATCCTGGGAAATAAGGGATAATGGACTTCACACATGCACATTTCAGCATTCATAATTCAAGAACATTTCCACATCATAAGACATCAATAACTGCCTAAAATTTATTTACACAAGATTTATTTTTCCTGAAACATTCAGTAACATTGACAACAAACTAGATTTTTACATGAAAGTATAAATGGTGTTTGCTCATGCAGAACAGGGTATTGTGGATGGTTTTGTATGAGGATGCTTTGGTGTCTGGAGTGGTTTTGGCAAGTTTCTATTTGGGTAACTCATTCAGTGTAGGTAAAAGTGATTCCCAAGACCACCCCCTCCCCCCTCATATAATCCATTGTGAGTGCCCTGAACAGTAATAAAACCATAGAATAATCAGAAAGTCCTTATGAACAATGAAAAGACAGTCACAGATGCAAAGAATTAAACTAACTTTTGTGAAGTTCTTTAAATAGATGGGAAGACCATATGCAGCACCATTAGCGAGGCCCAACAGCCCCTGTGGCTCCCATAGCTATCAGGTAATTTGACAAAGATCCAAAAGTTGTAGACATGCAGATGTTTACCATTTAAGCAGGCATCTGTTTGCTCTGGCAGTTTATGTCAGAGAAGATGTGACATGCCCACAAAGTCTTTTTAGAGAGTAATTTAAGTGATTTTTTTAGTGATCTTATGTAGTGCATAAGACAGTGAAAGCCATCTGATTACAAATGAAGTAAACTGAAATTAAGTGATATAGTCTTGAATATTCCATAATATGTCATCATTCTCATAATTTTTTTTTTTTTTTTTTAAACAGTAGAATAGGAATTTTACACCACTGTTAGAGAAATTATGTTTTGGGTGTTTGTAAACACGTTTTCAGACAACGATGCCGGTTCACACGAATCGTTTAAAAAAGCTGTATTATGCATGCCAGGCCAGTAGTTGGCGATGTCACTTTGTAAAGAAACACTACGCACCAACAGACTGAACACTTAATACGCATGAGAATGGCGGTATCGTATTCATAAACTTGCACTTTGAAACCGTTTTCAAAAGTTTGCGTTTCCAAAACGCTGTTGTCGTGTAAATGAACGGCCAAAATGCATAAAAAGTTTTCAGTTTTTAGTTGAAAAAGGTGTTGTGTAAACGCCCCCTAAATATTTTAGTATCAATAACTATAGCATTAGCATTTTGGTGGAAACTTTAACTATGATAATAATTTTTGTACCAGTCTGAGTTCGAGGAAATTGTTACAAAAAAAAACATACAGTAACTCAGAAAACAAATCAGGATGAAGTTTTGCTTGTGGATATCAAGTTTACATGCTACAAGTCCCCTAATCAAAAGTCTGCATTTTTTTTCTAGGATGTGATGCTACTAATCTGGCAAACATTTTGGCAAATCCACTAAAAGCGCCTACTGTTGCAACCCAGCAATTTGATTTGTTAGGTAACTGATACAAAAGTATTACGATTGTTTGTGTAAATGTGTATCAACCATTTACTGTAGGATTGTAGGAAAAAAAGACAACACTACTCACTTGGCTAACTACGGCAAAAAACTGGACTTTCCAACACTTCTTGGAAAACTGAGGTTTTCCTGCTGTTTGAACAACCATGTTACTCAGTGGGTATCTCTATCTGATAACTGAAAACAAATGTTTAGCAAGCCAAGATAACACAATAACACTCCAGCCCACTGCCTGGCGTGATCGTTCTCTTACCTTGACCTCTCCCTGAAATAGATGCCTGAATTACATGCACACAAACACACGAACAAAAGTGTTGCTTTCCCCATTACGTGACGAGAGCCTGGCGCTGACAAAAACGATCTATTACACAGTCGCCGTGCACTCGAGAGAGAGAGCAGTCTTCCTGAACGAAGAACAAAGGTTGATGGGCCCTAGAAGGACAAGTGTCCTACAAAACATCGTCTCAAACTGGCTGTTTAACAACTGCACTCTAGTTTAAACAAGCCATCAACATGGGGACACACTGAAGGCCTTTTCTCTCCACTTCGCTCTTCATTGTGATAAAAATCAACATACGCTGGCACAAGGGCCTGTTATTGTGTAGAACTGTTTATCAAGTGAAGCTCCTAGGATCATTTTATCAGCCTTCCGATACAAAACCTGAAAGTGCTAAAGTTTAGTTAACTTTAGTGCTTTAATATTTGATCATTTCAACAGTAATCGAACTGAGTCAAAATATGTTAAAGGGACAGTTCACCCAAAAATGAAAATTCTGTCATTAATTACTCACCATCACGCCGTTTCAAACCCTTAAGACTTTTGTTCATCTTTGGAACACAAATGAAGATATTTTTGATGACAACTTTGACGCTTCAAAAAGTTCATAAAGAGATCGTAAAACTAATCCATATGAATCGAGAGGTATGGTCCAAATTTTCTGGAGACTCGATCACTTTATATGATGAACAGATTGAATTTAGGCTTTTCTTTCACATATAAACATTGATCAGTGAACATAACAGGATTCTCGACCGATCCTGCTTGATGTGCGAGAACAAACCTCTTGCGGAAGCTCAAACTTGCTGCATAACATGAGAATGAACCTCATTGGTTCTTGCGCGTTAAGTAAACATGCTTGAGCTTCGGTTTACCACAACTGATGTGTGAGTTGAGTTTCTTTTTTTATGAATTTTCATTTTCGGTTGAACTATCCCTTTAGGGAGCCTTTTTAACAGGAGGTCTTGTGTTATTAAGAGAAAGCGACCAATCAGAAAACTTGGAGGCGCTTCTCTACCACTTCAACCAATGACGTGACTTTAGGGGTCGGACTATGGAAGATGGGAAAAGTAGCAATTTCATGTGAAATCACTTATAGTAGCTTTAAATGTCATGTTTATGTTTATATATTTTTAATGTGATTATTCTAGCTCTAAATGGGCATCTATTAGCTTGCTTTGGCATAGACTGTAGTGTTCTTTGATACAAAATTTGCAAAGTGACACGAAATTGTAAAGTGTTCTTCCAACGAAGCAACTTTGACGTCTTCAGTTTTGCAGGCACCTTAGCGATAGCAAACCTCCGAAATTTCCATCGCTAGCTCAAGGCATTCCCCTGTTTCATGGCAGATGTCCCTAAGTCCACAGTCAAAATCACAACTGCAGTTCCAGTTGGTGTGCGCAGGTTCCGCAGGTGGAGAGAAAAGCATGTAGGTAGGGCAGATGGAGATAGCAGCTCGCTCGCATGTTTCAGGTAGCATGAGGAACAGGTCATAGAATCGGCAGAAGAGACAATTCAGTACAATCCCAGCACAGAGCTCTGAACAACAGAAATAAGAAATCATGACATTGTGGGCAGTTAACAGGGAGTGCTAAAGCATCTATACTTTATTCATGGCTGCATTTAAGAAGCAATAAAGAAGTGTGTAAAACCTCCCTAATGGAGTACACTTGCAGTTTATCTGTTTAGTTAGCAGAAACGTGAGGTATCTAAAATATGTACAGATGCTAGTTATATATCATGAAATCAAAAGGCAATAATTGAACATTTTTATGAGTATCTAATATACACCAACTGCTAACTATAAAATTGTCCCTATGCTCTCAAACTAATAGCATATTTAGCAAAAAACGTAAAATGTCGTCAACATCTTTAATTCTATAGTTTTATATTTATCTGTCATTTTTAATTAGTCATTCGCAATGCTTCATGGTATTGTACACATTACAGCTGTTCAGTACACAGTCTTGTATCTTTGTTTTTTGTCTAATTTTCAAATGCTTTCCCCCCCCCCCCCCCCCCCCTTCAAATCAAAGTTTGTAAAATTTATGATTCACCTCATAGCTGGTTGGTTTGGTTAATGGCCTTAACTCTTTTGTGAAGACTTTTGAAAAATCACTATAAGAAAAAAAATACTGTACTTTTATGCTCCAAGGTTTTCAGGTAGACACGGAATATTATTTAATCATGTGTATTTATGATACACAAAATGCTAACTATAAAATGCATTATAACTATCATTAACAAGACAAAGGAGTCGGCTAAAAATGTCATTTCCACTGCTGTCATTTCCATCAAACAAACTGCATAATCTGAGATGAGGTGGAAATGTCTAAAATATGACAAATATGACAGAATTCTCCTGTGATGCATGTATATAAACAGTTGGACATTGTTAGTGGGGAAAAAAACTAGTGAGAGAAATCTGTTTTGTACAAAAGTTTATTTTCGTTTTAGTTGAAAAAAAAAAAAAAAACACGCCTAAACAGCTGTAATGTACCAGTACGCAAACATTGCATGGGGAAAAACAGCTTTTTTGTGTGTGGTTATCTCTAGCAGAGCTAGATATTATGATATTGCTAATAAGTTAGTAAACAGACTTGACAGGCTCTACCACACTTTTTGCACATATTCAAAAATGTACTACAGTACATTACAATATGCATCCATTTAGAATTTAATTGAAATAATCACATCTGGCCAACACAGCATGCCGTTACCATCAAATAGTAAAAAAAGTCAAAAAGCACCAAAATGCTAAAATGAAGCGCTTCAATGACCGACACATGGCATGATCATGCCGAGAGCTTAGAAAGCCCACACAGTGTTATGTATGTTATAGAACCTAAATGCCTCTTTGAAAACTCTCACCTTGGGAGTTCGGCTGATGGGGATAGACACTCAAAGGCCCTTATTGACCTGCAGTCTGTCTGCACCTCTTGTATACAACAGTTTAAAAGCCCACCAGCTCTCGCAGGGTACTTCTGTACACATGCATAATTTACTGAATCACCTTTTCCTTCCAAAGAGAGAAGGAATAGAGCTGTGTGGAGATGTAATCAATTATCATCTGTCTGTATAGGTGTTTTTCCCTTACAAGATCATCTGTGCTCTGCTGGAGAGAGACAGAGACTTCCAGGTGATTAAATAAATGGAAGAATGACACAGACTCAAAATAATTAGCAGGATTTTAGCAAAGTTGACTTAATGTGATGGTCAGTTTTTAAGAAATGTTTCCACACAGCCTAGGGTCTTATGTAAAAAAATAAAATAAAAACTTCAAATGGGGCTTTAAGTAGATTTGAGCATAATGCAGGACAAAATACCCTTGCCTCTGAGCATAAGAGTTGGAATTAGATTAACCTCTGAATATTACACCAGGAAAAGCATTGTAACGCATGTGTAAAGACTTAATGACTGCTGCACCTTAACTCATCTGAACCTACTGGCTGAATGCAGGGAAATATATTGTTCTAATTAATTTCATATTGAAAAAGCTGTTGAATCGTAATACTCATGCAAAAGAGTTCTCAGTGCATGATTTTAATAATTAATCTCTATATGTAAGTTTAATCAAATGTGCTGCTTAAATCAGTTATTCAACTGATGAAGACAGCTTTAAAATCACAAGCTTTTCCATTTTTTTTTTTTTTTAAATTTAAAGATACGTTTTAATAATTTACCATTTAAAAATGCATAATTATTTGCTTCTGGCAACACATAAATTCATAAAAAAATCAAAGGATTACAAGAAAAACAAGATAATGTATAAAACCACTGCTCATTTGAGAGAAAATTAGGAGTTAGAATTTTAATACAAGACAATTCATGGTGGCAGCTGATGTTGTAATTATTATTCATTAGAGCACTTTAGGGCACTATGGGGGTCTGGGAAAGAGGAAGCTGGCCAATCCCCAAACCCAGGTGTGATGATGCGTGACTCACCTCCTCTCTCCTGGGAGTCAGACAGGGAGCTGCTGGAGGAGCCGGCCGTGCTGTACCTGTCCACTGAGCATAAGGAGTAAGTGAATTCTGTAGAGTCCGTGTCTGCTTCTCTCTCCCAGGGATCCAGCTCAGGAATGGGTGAGAGCCTCCCAGTTGCTTTGCTGGACACCTCCGCTCCTGAAAAAGAAAAGGTGTTTTTGAATAGTCTGCATGCTTACAGTACATTTATATTGAGCAAGATATGGTTGATTATATTCACCTACACTCTCAAGTACAAAAGCTGTTATTGGGTGGTACCCTTTCAAAACATACTAATATGTACCTTTAAAGGGATAGTTCACGCAAAAATGAAAATTACCCCATGATTTACTCACCCTCAAGCCATCCTGAGTGTATTTGACATTCTTCTTTCAAACGAATAGATACAAGAGTTATATTAAAAAATATCCTGGCTCTTCCAAGCTTTATAATGGCAGTGAATGGCTGCTTATATTTTGAAGTTCATAAAAGTGCATCCATTCATGATAAAAGTGTTCCACGCAGCCCTGGGGTGTTAATAAAGACCTTGTGAAGCGAAGCGATGAGTTCGTGTAAGAAAAATATCCATATTTAAAACTTTATCGAATAAAATAACTAGCTTCCGGCAGATGTCCTACGCAAGTCGACTTACGCCAAAAGAGTATCACTTGACAACGTATGACGTAGAAGTAACGTAAGCTTTGACGCCTCTCGCGGTTTAAACAAACAACAAACTCAAGCTACTCTGACATTTCTCTTTAAAAATTTTGTTTTGCTCTATCCTCTGCGCTTCCGCGTTCATCACTGCGTTATGCGTCATGTCAAAGGTCACTATTTTGCAGTAAATTGATGCGTACGGCCGTCTGCATTTGCAAGAAGAATTCAAAATTCAATATTGTGTATGGCTTCCTATTCAGTAAATATAAATTCAGTCTTTTCCTCCCAATGCTTTCATATGACTTCAGAAAAGTCAAAATATAGCAATATTATAATGCTATTTGTGTCCTTTTTGGAGCTTCACTGCCCTGGTCCCCATTCACTTTCATCGTAATGAAGAGAGTAGAAAAAATAATTGATCCACAAGTTGCAAACAAACAGATATAGAATGCAACAGTTGGGTTCCAGAAGTCAATTCTTTAATGAAGACTTTTGAAAAATCCCTATGAAAAAGTGGGCGGACACTGTTGCACTCTATAGTTCCGCCCCAAACTCACGCCATTGGCTGAGCCAGAAGTCACTCATACAAACAGCAATGTTTTGAAAGTGCCATAGCCACAGGTTTTTTTGGGTTTTTTTTTAACAGTTTCTTGGAAAGCTTACTTATATCTGCACATTTACTTAGTTTTTTGCAATGCTAAAATCACTTAAATACTCTAAACATCCCTGTCAGAAACAAATCCACCACTATATATGCAAAATAATCAATGTTCTCTAATCCACCATGTCAGTTCCCGTTTCAAAAGTTCTTTCATCCTGAAGCAATGTTTTTCAAGGCTTGTCTAGAAAACATGCTGAGATGTGTTCCTGTGCTCTCACTGGTTTCAAAGTGAGCCCAGAAATCATTCAATAATGAATCTGCCAGATCTGAATGCAAACTATTAATGAATCATTGCTTTGGCTGCACTACCTTGTTTATTTTCTCTTCCACCTATCCCAAATGAATTATTCAATGTGCTTTTCTCTCTTTTATTTAACATTTAATGTCTTATGATTAATTAACACGCGGGACATATTTTCCGTAGAGGAATCTGCATTGTTAGTCTAAAATAAAAAAGAGAAAGGAGAGACAAATGAAAATGGCTTTGGGCTGTATTGGCCTTTTTTATTCTCTCTCTCCTTCAGATTGAATAATTTAGAAAAGAGGATAAAGAATTGTTTCTCCAGAAAGTTCTGTAGTTTGTCTTCACTGTCTTCTCGTTTTGTGATGTGAAAATGTTATGATATGACGGATGTAGAAGATTAATCTTTGTCTTATTACGGGAGAGCGCATGCTCTTTGACAACAGTCATAGGATTTAAACTGCAGATTCTCAGGTGTGCCATTATCAGCTGTTCACAATCATAACCATATGCATGATATAATCTCTAATACAAGTGTTTATGATAAATAAATATGGAGATCTAAGGAGTCATAGACAGTGTGACAACTAACCCCGGTCTCCACTTCTTTTGGTCTCACTCTCTGAGTAAAATTCATTAAAAAAATACAATTTAAGATTTTGGGGGATTTACTGGATGGGGAAAGGGATATTTATAGGGGAAAAGGGATAAAAACAGATCCATTATGACAGGGGACAGGATTCACCTTGCCTATTTCTAACTGCTGTGAAAGCTAATGCACTTATTCTTCAATCGATAACCATCTCAAAATGAGTGAGAAAACATTGTTCTCATAACATACATAATGCACCATGCCAAAAATCGAACAGTGTTAGACTAATGTTTGAACATGTTACATTGCTTATTACTAACTTACCAGCTTTTACAAAAGAGCTTCTCTCTTCAGTTTTGATCAAATCAAGCTCGATTTCAGAGTTTTGTCCAGCCATCTGTCTTACAGTGTGATTAAAATATCAAAGCAAATATCAAGTTAATAATGTACCGATTCATAAAACCCCCACAAAGACACTGCTAAAACTGTGTATGAAAACTTACCATTGATATAATCTTAGTGAAGACAATATAAATCACATGAGAGCTCTAAGCATTATGCGCGACACGCCTTCAGCAACACAAAAATAATCGCATGCGCATTTAAGCAGTTAAAGCTACACACGTCGGTATTTCACTAAGATAGATAATAAGAAAGTTACTGAGATTTAAAATTACAGAAGTATACTGTCGTCAAAGCAAAGAGTTTCGTTTCTCTCAACACTCCCGCTAGTCGTCACTGCTGGTTTAAAGTGAGCATCAACTTTGATTGACATGTGTGACACACCCAACCCAAGTCTACCGATGACGTCGTGCTATGGTCGTGACGTGTTGCGTTTGACACCTATGGTTTGACAACAAAAACTCAAGGTAACACAAGCTTTCTCACGTTTTTCATTCAAATATGTATGATGTATTGCTAGATCTCGCTATTAATGTTCAAACACGCCTTAAGATGCATATTTGATTCTGAGGTGTCGCACTTTTTTCCCTCAATTGGGTGTTTAAATGCATTTTGGCCCTGTAAACTAGCCTATAAACAAACTGTTTACACTCCCATTCGATTGGTAAAATGACATTTTAAACGTTTTTTTTTTTTGTATAAAATATCCAACTCTTTTGTCTTGCTAAAGAAAATGTAATATATATTCTGTATATCTTTTACAATTAAATAATATTTTCAGTTATTTTCAATAAGCTATTTTCAAGTTTTTAAAAATTATTTAACAAAAGCTTGATTGGAAATTATGCACATTAAAAATAATTTGTTTGCAAGTGCTAGTTACCTTGATTTTTTTTCAAGCATGCTCTTCAGTGAAATTATTCACTTGGTAAAGTGCAAACATTTTTGTGGGGGAAATGACAACAATTGGACAGTTGGGAAAAAAGACTTTTTGAATTTTGAAACATCCATTCATCCATACATTTCACACAATAAATATTGCAATATATATTAAATATTTGGCTTTTTTACTCATTTAAATTGTCATAGTCTTTCAAATGTATACATCTTTGATTGATTTTCATATCGAAAGTCTTAGTCTGGGATAAATGATATACAATCTATATGTACTAAACTGCATTGGAAAAAATGAATAATCAAGGTAAAATCTTTCCAAGACAGTTTTAATGTGAACTGGATTTAACAAAAAGGGGGAAAAAAAATAGTTGTAAGTGTTAATAAAAATCAACCCCTGGGACATAAAAGTGTCAGAAGTTGAAGAAACCCAATTATGAACATACTTGCTATACTTCCAGCATTATTCACACAGTTTCACAGGAAATAAAATACTTTTTTTTTTAATTCAGAGCCTTATGCTGTAGCCTGTAGCACTACTGCACTGAAGTTCAGTAGCTTTTTCTTTGCACACAAACATGTCTACACATACCTGTGTTACCTTACAACACATGCTCCTCATATGAAAGCCAGTCAGCAGAGATAAACTGATAATGAGCTCTATTCAGATTTTTCAAGGTTTACAAGCCTGCCAATTTACTCTAACTAGCCTGCAGATTAGAGTTGCATTTTAAAGGATGCCCCGCTGTGTTTGCATATGTTTAGAGAACAAGGGGCCTGCTAATTGAAAAATTAAGATGTGGCTATGTTTGTGGGTTTGGACTATGCCAGATGCCTTCTTCAACAGTGAGTGCTGGTTAAGTGTGAATAATATAACATGTTGGATACAACAGGCAGGATACAGATTAAGCTGGTTATGTTAAGATCACTAGGATTCCATCATTCCAATATGTTGCTTTGTGCCATACTGATTATAATGAAATGGGATCCCTCATCTAGTTGACATGGGGTCAAAATTACAAGTAATTAGATAATTTCATACTTTTAAGGGGCATTTGAAATAGTCAGCCACTGGTAAAACATCAACTACAATTAATATGTTTGAGAAAGATTACAGATCACTCAGCTAATTTTGAAAAACTATCATAAAGGTGCAGTTATATCTAGCAGCAGGAGCTAATTGTTGATGCTAACAAGCCAATTCCTCTACCCACCTAGGGAAAAAACACACATTAAAATAAATTAATCAAATGCTGTAGGTTCAGTACAATGCATGTTTCATTTCCAAAAAAAGCATAATGCATAAAAAACTGCATAACATCACTTTGTAGGATTGCAATCTTAATAACTTAAGATTTGATACCAAATTGTATATATCATCCAAGGCCAACATGCAATTATATGCAGTTTTAATCAGTTTTGTTTGCATATGTTTACAGAACAAGAGATCTGCTAATTGAAAATGACTATACCAGATGTCTTTTCAAATCAGGTGTTGAGTATGTGCTATCTTTAAAGGTAAGTTGTTTTTTTCTTCTTCAAAAATGTAAATAATGAGTCAATACATCATCAATCCTTTCAAAATGTGTTTTTGTCTTACCCTGATTCACTATAGTAAGCCTATTATACAGTAAGTATTTATCTTTTAGACGGGACGGAGCACGCTAAATCTCTAACCTCCGGGGAATCACTTTGTTTTAAAGAAATGCAAAACCGAGGAGAGTCTGCTGGCAAAAAGAGAATGTGACAGAGCTCGTAATAAAACGAGAATCAACATTGGCTTGGCTTTTCGGATTGACGCGTTTGTATTACTCAACAGGTGAGTAAGGCATTGAACATAAATTGCCATACTGTGTAGCTCTCTAACAGAGTTATTGTAAGGCATTATCTATTGTAAAGGGTCATATTCATCCTCACGATATTCATCCTTGTTTTTTAACCATTAGAGGGCCAAAAGTTCCATAGGCTGTGTCTGAAATCACCCCTATACCCTTATTTGAGGGGACAGCAATTTGTAGTGGTCTCCGAAACCATAGTGGACGTTATTGAGTGCACTCTTTCAATCCCATAATGCCCCGCAATAACGACGAGTGTACAACTGATGTACACTCAACGACTAAAGAATACCCATAATGCACTGTGAGGGTCGTGCCGAATGATGTTGGGAATAGTGAATGAAGGTATAGGGGGTGATTTCGCACACAATTACAGCGTACCTTTGCCATATATCATGAGGACAACATGCAATGCATTGGTGTATATTTGTTTGCTTTTTTGCATACATTTTACATTGTAAAATGTCAGACATGTTGGAATATAGCTCATAATACGCAGAGTTAATATTTCCTTCTTACCTTGAGACAAAGACAGATAAAATGATCTTCCATGGAGTCATATTCTAAATCCAGTTGATAATTAATTATACTGCAACCTGATTCCCTTCCTCTAAATTATTTATGAGTTAACCCCTCTTTTATCCTCCAGTAATGAAATACATTATGCGTAATGACAAAAATAGATTAATTCATTTGTATAAAAGGAGAAAAACCTTGCTGCTTTAAATTGAATGATAAATATAGCTTCCCATCCCCCATACACAGACACTGAGTTCCAAGATTTACATCTTGATGGATGAGTTGAAACAGAATGACTGATAGACTCATACTTAAGACTCTCGTGGATTGATTTGAGTAAAATGAAGAGACTTGAATGATTTTTAAAGCTGAAGAGTGTAATTTTTGCACCATTTGCATCACAAAATGCTAAAGAGAAATATTTGAACAAGTAAAAAGTTTTTTTTTTTTAATTCCACACTTCATACTAGTTGTTCTTGACAGTTGTATCTAACACGGATAATTCTTCAATTTTAAAACAAGGTTATGATGACATCAGGCTGCTAATAATGCCAATAAATCTCCCTTGTATTATTCGGTTTTGTCAGCTTCTATCGTGAGGACAGCTACTTGACCAGGCCATCATACCAGCATATTCCAGTGAAAATGACAAAGAAATATCCCTCCCAAGGACAATCAAAATAGATATCAGAATTTCCAATTAAGACTACAGATAAATGACCTCACAATACTGCAAAATATAGCAAGAATATGAGAAAAGGAGGAAATTGGATTTGGTGAAGTTAAACAGTATATGACTTAAATCTTTTGGGGATTCTCTCTCAAACAAAGAAAGTGAAGGTTTCCTAAGGCGATGGCTTCACTTGGGAATTCCCAGGGTGATCCAAGAGGGGATCGGAAAACCCTTGAAGTTATTCAACCCAGTAAATGACTAAATAGATTTTTTTTCTATTAACTGATAGCCCCACATTGGTTGAAGGCAGACTATTTGACTCTCTGTTTTTTATTTAATTAGATGTCAAAGTCAAAATGATCATCTTTGATGAATATTTTTGAATTATTGATATTCCTGGCAATATTGTCTTGGCACTAAATGGATATTCTAGTAGAATATAGATATTCCAGTCTGAGGAGCAGTTGCTTAGACACTTTGCAGTCACATTTTCTTTTTTAACTTATTTTTATATTATTGGACTTCCATAATCCAAATTCCATATATTCGTTTTTTTTTCTTTCTTGTCTTCATTATGGCATTTCTGTTCTTTTTGATGAAAGAAATACTACGCCAGCCATCAGCAGAAAACAATTGACCATACGAATTAAAATGCACATTTGATTTTTTTTTTTGCAACGAGAGCTTTTACCATTAGTGCAATTATGATATGACATCAGACATTCTCAGTAAAGTATTGTCTTGTTGTTATTGCCTAAGACGGATTATGATTGGGTTTAAGCGCAGGCACATTATGAGGTGAGCCCTAAGTAGTGCTGAGGATGGAACAACTCTTTTATGGTGTCAACCAGATAATAAGCTCCTTGATTCATATATACTTTAAGAGTCAAGGGTAACACAATGCTAGCCTTGTATTTTCTCTCTCCATCTATGTGTGTGTGTCCTTGCTTGTAAGGATCTCTTTTGTCCTACATTTTCATGAGTCGGGTCTCCCTCCGTCTACTAGTGCTGCAGGCTTATCTTCATACAGCACTGTTTTTAAACACTGTCAATTCATCTCTCTCATTACCATCATTAATAAGGCCTTTGATACATCTTATTACAAGGTTAATTGGGACAAATCTGAAGCATATCTGCCTGTATCTTTTAATGTGATATGTCTCAAATATTCATCTCTCAAGATAGACTGCATACCACAACTACAAAACAGCGTAAAAGACCCTCTGGTGCAATGTAAACGTTCACAACAGCTGGTATTCATTGATTGGCGTTTTCCAATAGTGAGTGTTTTATTGTGTTCCTGGGTCTGTTTGATGTCTTACCTTGTGCTGTTGTGCTCAAATGTGCTTTTAATGGTGGCGCCTATGTGCCAAATTGTTCATTAA